CAAAGAAAACTTAAATTAAACATTGAAAACAAAAGATGGATTACACCTAAAAACGATCCAGCAATCCAACAATATTGAATGGCAAGCACGGCTCCAAGCTATCATCTCTCCTTTCTCTTTGCAAAGTTGAGGCACATATGGCTAAAATTGGGTTGTGATGTATTATGGATAGGTGGTGCAGATTTGTGTGATGGATGATGGATGAATGAATGAATGAATGGTTGTGTGAATGGGTGAGTGAATTATGCTTATTTGTACGACAAAATATATAAATTATATGGAAAGGGGCATGGCTTTAATTAATTGTTTTGGGAAAGATTTGCACTCCAAATCCTCAAGGAAAAAGGCTAATTAAATGTCAGAATCCAAGAGAAAAAAGGAAAGAGAGGTGCAGCAGATCCTAGAGGAAAAGGGAAAGGATTGCACAGCAAGGGAATTGGGTATTCTAAAAGGAAGGGTGTGGCACCTTTTAGGAATGGGATTAGGACTTCTAGAAACATATATTTGGGTGTCCTAAATTAATTAGGGATTCTCTTGGCAACTGGAACATAAGTAGGAAAAGATTAAGATTGACTAAGTCAAAATAAAGTGGTTTGACTCATGTTTCCTTTTTTGTAGCTGATTCCTTGATTTCTTTTGTCTTGAATTTATTTCCTTCATTTCTTTGCTCATTCCTAGCCTTTCTTGAACTTCAATTTCGTCCATCCACCTTGCTCCATGTATGTGCTATCCATTCCAAGCCCAAAATTGCTCCAAATTGCCTTTTCTTGCCACTTTAACCAATTGAACCTACAAACACACGAAAATAACTTAAATTACTATAATAAATAGAAACTAATAACATAAATGCAAGAAAACAAGCTAACGAAGTCACATAAATATGCTTCTATCAATTGGCAAGTGTGGATGATGGTGCGCCCCTTTATCTTCAGTTGTCCTTTTGTGTCAACTTTCAAGGTTGCTTGGCTCTTCATCCTTGAAGGAATCGAGCTTCAAACATCGTCGTTTTCTACTAGACCGTCGAGCTTTTTTCCTTGGGCGTTGTCTTCCTCTTTCTAGAAGGCTTCTTAGTTTCTTCAAGTCTTTCCATAGCCCACCTTCATGGATGAAAGCCAGTTGAGTTGCTCTGTTTCTTAGGTTTTGACAACCATTCAAAAATAGAGCTTTGGGGTGTTGGCATGTTAAGTCACTTGAAGACAAAAGTTTAGTCTTAACCACCAATGCGATCAAGTGCCAAAATTTTGGGTTTTGAATAATTCAACCTATCAAAAGGCGAGTTTGCTTTTCTTGAAATGTTCACGGGCGTGTTTGGTGTGAAGCCAAGTCTAGCTTTGTCGTTAATGGTACTTGCATTCTTCTTTCTAAGATTTGAAGGGGAAGGGAAATCGTACCCAACCTTTGACATGAGTTTATAGGCGTTTGGGAGAAAACCTTCTCTGGTCCTCTTGGTTGGAAAAGAGCTTGGTTTCGCCCTTTTTGGTAGAGGTTTTACAAAACCTTGTGGTGGTTCTGAAACTTTAGCGTTGCCTAGCTATGTTAGAGGTAAAACTACATTTGTCTTGAGCAGCTTTACATTGTCCTCGTGCAGCTGTGTGTTGGCTTTGCTTGTTCCAGTTTTGAATGGGGATTGCCCATTATTTCTTCTTGACATTGGGATGTCAGAAGATAAGTGTGTTTGGTCCTTTTGAGGGCATCACACTCCTTTTTGTTGTTGTGGGTTTGGCAGGTTCATCGTCGTCTTTGTTTGAAAATGGCATGACTTCCCATTTTTGCTCCTTGGGCATGGCTTCCCACTCCTGTTTCTTAGGTGTGACTTTACCTGTGGATTTGATCTATTTTGGACGAGCTTCAAGCACCATGTCCTCATCCATGTAAAACTTAGCATCCAGGAAGTGTGATGTGACTTTAGTGAATAGCTTGGTGTCGCCTTGTATCACCTTCACTCCTTCTTGGTAGAATTTTAAACATTGGTGGAAGGTGGATGTAACCACTCTCCATTCTCATGGATCCAAGCCCTTCCTAAGAGCAAGCTGTAGGAAGTTCTCGTGTTAATCACATAGAATAACATGTTGGACTTGAGTTCACCAATGGTCATTTTGACTCGGATCATACCCATTGCTCTCTATCCTCTTTGGTTAAAATCTTGATTTACAAGGTGGCTTCGGGACAGTTCATCCACCTTAATGTCGATTGTGGTCATTGTTGACTTTGGCATGATGTTTATGGCTGATCCATCAACCACATGCATATGGTTGACTTTGTGCTCCTTCACGTTCCTAGAGATGAAGAGAGAACGATTATGCGGCTTTGACCCTAGCAGCAAGTCTTCGTCAGTGAAGTTGATTACGTCATGGACAGGCACAACATGTGGTCAAAGCTTCAAGCCTTCATACTTGATTTCTTACACCTTGTGGTCGTCAGGACTAGCCAAGACCGCTATTAGTGCTCTTCGCATCTCCTTAAGCGTGAGGGTCTTCTCTTCCTCGACGGCAATATCTTTGCCTTTTAAGGGCTTTGCTATCTTTCTTTCAACCATGTGACAGCAACAGTAGTGCACGGTTGAAAGAAGTTATTCAGGAAGTACTCGTGCAAAGAGACGGGAATGCGTAGCTCTTGCTCCATAGGTTCCTCAGAGTACGTTGGCTTAGCAGCTCTTACGTCTCTTTTAGGCTTTCTATTGTTGGGGTGGCGTGTTTTCTCCCTTGTTCCACCTTTGGTTGTGTGACTTGTGGTCTTGGCTTCCTTGTCTTTTTGTAGGTCACTAATTGATGCGAGATTTACTTGACACTCAAATTAAACCCTCGTTTGACAATTGTAGTAGAATGGATAAGTGAGGGATCGTTCTAGACCGGGGATTAGGAGGGCTTGCTAAAACCTTCTAAATTGACTTAAGAACGTAAAAACAATATAAAACACTAAACTAGACTCAAAGAATGCAAAACTAAAATTTAAAACATTAAGACAAACCAAAAGACTCAAAACTAATTTTGGACGAATTTAAGATTATGGCTTGATTCAAAATACTTTAAAACATAAACTAAACAGATTCTAAGCACTAAAGAACAAGAAAGTAAAAGGGGGGGGGAAGTTTTGATTTGACGAAAATTGAAATAACAAAACAAAGTAACAAACTAAGCGGAATGTAAATATGAATTTGTGATGGAATGAATGGAATGAAGGCTAGCTAAGGGGTTCTTCTCCACACATGTTATACTTGCATACAAGATTGATTCTCAGTTGGTCTTTCGATAAATTATGAAACTCAACACTCCAGATTAATTAGGTCCGCTTAAATTAACCGTCAAGTTTTCCTTAAGTTAATGAATTGTATGGGTTTGCGCAACGCAATTCACAACATTCTCCAAAAGTCCTTTACGTGAACAGCACAATAAAGATACAATCAAAGATCATTAAGTATTATGAAAACTATAAGTGTTGACGAGGCATTCGTTACTATGATGAGCATGAAACTCGTGCCAAGAATTCATTTAATGCGATTGTTTATAAGCAACCTCCACTACTTGTGAATATAAGTTCATAACGATTAGGTGAAAATCACTTATATTCTAGCGTCATATTTATGCATGAAAATTAAGCGCGCATTCTTAATAAACATTCATAAATAAGTTATCAATCAAACGGTTAAACAAATTGAATCCACAACTTATGAAATTCCAACGAAAGTTAATCAATTCATATTGCAAATATAAACATAGTTTCGAATCACCCCCTAGCTAAAGGGGGTTTAGTTCCTCATAACTTTGAAATCAAAGAAACACCTAAACATTCCAACAACTCAAAACTTGAATTGTATGAACGTTTAAGCACTCTTCTCTTCCATTCCTTATACGTACAAAACAAAGAGAATTAAAATGAAACTTTGAAATCAAAGAAACACCTAAACATTCCAACAACTCAAAACTTGAATTGTATGAACGTTTAGGCACTCTTCTCTTCCTCGTTGTTGTAGCACAAGGTTTAAGAATAGGTTGGTTGGGGGGATGGAAGTGTGGAATGGAGTGGAAATGGAGAAGATGGAGAAGGGGAAGTGTTTGTGTATTACAATGGAAAATGAGATGATTTGGTGAATGGAATGAATGGGTATTTATAGGAAGAGAATGGGTGTTAATGGATGTTTGGTGGAAGGGAAAAGGTGTGGCTGTTTGTGATATTAAATGGGATAGTGCGTAAGGTGGCTGCATGTTAGAGTTATAATGGGAATTATGGAATGGAATGGTGGGGGGACTGCACTAATGGAAATTATGGAGAGAATGGAATGTTATGGTGGCTGCGGATTGGAATGAATTATGGGATATGGTGGATGTGTGGCTGATTATTGTATTAAGGTTAATGGAAAAATGCACGGATTGATGGAGTGAATTAGGAGAGAAAAATGGAATGGTGGGATTAATGAGAATTAGGATGCATCAATTAGAATGCATGACGGCTAAATGGAAAAGAATGGGATAATGGCTGAATAATATATATGGGATATGATAAGGTGGCTGCGTGTTAAATAGAATTAGGGTATGGAATGCACGGATGAATGAATAATGGGAAATTGGTGGCTGATTAATGTTTTTAAAATGGATGCACGGTTTAGAATTAAAGGGAATTAGGGTTTATGGATGATGGATAGGAATGGTGGGATGGGAGAATGGCTTGATATTTTATTTAGGGTTAGTGGAATAATCATGGCTTAGCAAAATTAGGGTGAATGGATGGTGTGGACGGATTGATTGAATGGAATGGGAAAAGTATAAAATATGGAATCAATGGGATATGGTACGGATTATGGAGGGATTTGAGGGTTAATATGTGAATGATTAATGGGAGAAAATAAAAGGCACGGCAAAGATGGATAAGGAGCCTAGGGTCTTCGTTTTGTGTCCTAAGGTTGCGTTTGGTACGCGGGACGGGACGGAACAGAGTGGGACGAGGCGTTCCGTCCCGCGTTTGGTGCGCCTAAAATGAGTGGAACGGGCTGTTCCATGGAACAGATTTTGGATGATTTTCTGTTCCACACCCCCACCCTGGAACGGGTTGTTCCACGCCTGTGGGACAGAAATTTCCAAAATTTTAAGACAAAAATGCCCCTTGTCTTTTTCAAAATTTACATCAAAAATCATATAACAAACCCTAAAAACTATCCCTCTTCTTCTCAGCCGTCGTGTTCCTCCCTCTGCATCTTCCCTTTCCTCCTCATCTTCTTCCCTGTAGCCTCTTCACCTCTGCATCTTCCGTGTAGCAGCTCTGCGAACCTTCCTCCTCATCCTCTTCCGTAGCATCTTCAGCTCTGCATCTCGGTTCCAGGTTCGATCTGTTTTCGTGTAGCTCTCGGTCTCTCTTTCTTCGATTGTTCAAATGTTTTTTATTTGTTCTCTGTTTGTGTTTGATATTTTGTATCAACTAGAGTGCAGCAAAATACTAGTTTTTTTTGGCGATTCTCATCTGGGTCTGGTACATTTTTTTCTTTGGTTTCTGTTTCCGCTTTCAATCTGTCTTTCTGTTCTCAAATTCAATTTAGGAAATTAGGCATCTTGCAAAATCTCAAACTTTTTGGGGAATGTCATAAAAACAATGATATTGGAAAAATACAGAGGCTGCTTTGTGCTCTTGTGATTCCCAGTCGACCAAATACATTGGGGAGCCTGCACCCCGAAATCTACGCACCTCTGTCAAAGTTTCAAATGTGAGTTTACTGATTCATTTTGTTTTTGTGAATGAATGTTTTCATTCATATCTTCTTTTCAATGGCGACATCATGGGCTGTGAGAGCCGAGCTCCCCAAAGCTCCTGATCTGTGCGCTGACCGCTCCATTCTGCGAAATGGGTCTTCCTCCTCTCGCCGCCGCGACCTCGTTTTCGTCGTCAATCCCAGCGGTCTCTCTCTCTCTCTTTCTCTCTCTCTCTCTCTCTGTTTCTGTGTTTTTATAAGTTTTGTGGGTGTGTTTTTATGATTATTGTGGGTTATTGAAATGGGAAATTGGAGCAGGTGCGAATGGGAGGACAGGGACGGAGTGGAAGAAGCTGCTTCCGTATCTAAGGTCTCGCCTTGGCGCTGATTGCAATGTGAGTTTCTTACCCAATTTTCCTCTCTTTGGTTTTTTACCCAATTATCCAATTTTGGTTTCACAATTCGTTAGAGGTTGGAGATTGAAACCCACTAATTTATGTTAATTTTGGTTGTACTTGCGTTGCTTGTATTAATCTTTTGGATTAATTAATCTTGCTTGGCAAGACAATTGGAAATCCTATGTTATCTTAGATCATATGTTTTTTTTGGTTGAAATCTTAGATCATATGTATATCCATGAAATTCATGCTCTTTTGTAAAGCAGTTTACTATGTTATTGTTTTCACTGTTATACCTGGGAATCGTTTTCAGTGTTTGTCCCAAGTGCTCTGCGGTTTGGAATTTCTTCGCTTTTTGTTTCAATTTTTGGGTCTTGCTGTACACCACAAGTTTTAACCAATCACTTCACCAATTACTATTCACCACGCTTGTGTAAATTTGTAAAAATGTAGAACCATTGAATTAAAGGCTTGCAGTGGATTTGGTGATCTCCTCTCTGTCTGTCTTCCCCACGCTTGTGTATGCAATTGAACAGATCACTCTTTTCCAATTATTTATTTGAAGTCCTTGTTGTATCTGTTTTGTTTCCCCATTGAAACACACATGTTGAACTTGTCTAATTTTACTTTCTCTTCTTATCGGCAGATATGTGAATCTTTGACATCAGGTCCTTCTCATGCGATTGACATAACGAGAGAGGTGGGATTTTGTACTCTTATGCGATTGTCAATGGACTAATCCATCTGATGCATTTTGTTTTCCAGATTCGGAAAACCGTCCCTTTCAGATTTTTGGCCAAATATGGACTCAATGGAGGGATGATCTTGCAAGAGAAATATATGATGAGTGGAGAGGAAGGAGGGCTTGAAAATTGGTTAACATGGTAGTTGTTGTAATTGTCTTTTAGATGTGGACTCAATGTAGTTGTTGTAATTGGCTTGAAAATTCGTAACATCAAGACTATTGAGATGTTGGTTATTGTAATATGGTAATTGGGAGTTATCTAGATATTATGGCTTATTTGATATGTTTATTTGTTTTTTAAGTCAGGACGGATGTTTGATTTCGGATATTTCATGTTTAAGTTATGCATATTTCATTTTCTTTGTTTAAGTTCTAAATGTTTAAACCCTAAAATGTTTACGATATGCATTATCATTAAACTTATATATTTTTCAACATTTGTCATGTGCTCTTATGTGGTATGCCTTGTTCCTACAATGAGGAATATTTAGAGGGGTGTCCTTCTAAACAAGGCCAATTCTAATGTTTCTAGAACCTAACCCTGAACAACAACCCACAATTGAAAGGACCAAAATTAGGGACTAAAAATTGAATTGGGGTGTGGGTTTTGCAATTTGCACAATAAAATTTGATGGGTTTGTGGTGAAAATTCGAATGAAGGTGTAGAAAACGGGAAAAATTACAAATTTTAAAGGGGTTTGCATGTGAAACACAACATATACCTATTAAAATTTGGACCAAGAAAAACAAATAATGGATAATAGTGTTCAAATTTGAACAACTTATTTAAAAAAAAAAAAAAAAGAGTTATGTCCCGTTCCGCCCATAAAATTGTACCAAACAAGTGACGGAACATGGGTATTTTAGTCATTTTAATCTTTTGGTTCCGTTCCGTCCATGTGCTACCAAACACAGGACGGAACAACCATCTTGTTCCGTCCTGCGCGTACCAAACATAACACATAACATCTGTTTCGTCCCGTCCCGTCCCGTTCCGTCCTGTCCCGTCCCGTCCCGTCCCGTCCCGTCTGCGTACCAAACGCTACCTAAAGTACCTACAAGGTCTTCAAAGTGGCTAGAAAATACGGACGTTTAGATTAGGAAAGGTTACCAAAACGGGAAACTTAGGGTTAACTTTCCTAAAATAGGAAACCTTGTTTGAGTAGGATTCCTCGTTTTGGTAAGAATTCATCGTTGGCGTAGGAATTCGTCGTTTCTTCACGTCTTCAACTCATTCATTCCTCTTTCGCTCCAAAAGGCTCCAATTTGCATCTTCTTGCACACTTTGGCCTTATAATCTGAAAATACACAAAAGTGACCTTAAACACTGAAATAGATAAGTAAACACAACATAAATGCACGAGAACAAGCTAATTAAGTCGCATGATCATGCTCCTATCACTAATGTCCATATTTCTTCATTATCGATAAGTGCATTTCGGTCTCTTGCCCCCAATGATGGTAGTGCAAAAGGTGTTGTGCGGTGTGAGTTACGGCCATGTCTTCAAGGTCAAGCTCAAATTGCCCTTGTTGTGCCAGCTTCATGATGAGCTCTTTGAAGACAAAACACTTGCCAATAGGTTGGCTCATGATACGATGAGCTCTTCAAGGTCAAGCTCAAATTGCCCTTGTAGTACCTAGGATCTTTAACGCAATTCATCTTTTCAGGCCGCTTGCATTCAGGTAACTCAATCACCTTCGTTTCCAATAAGTCATATAACATTGTAGCCGCGTCAGAGTTCGGAAAAAGGTATGTCTTCTACTCCTGTTCCCTTAAGGTGTTTTTGTACTTGTCTTAGGTGTGAAAAGACTCACCTTTTTTCATCTCCTTTGCTTTGTTCTTGGAGGAGATCTTGACGGGCACAGAGTAAGTCTTGATGGGGGTCATATTGATGGTAAAAGCTTCATTGGCGGGCTTTTTCCCAGTCTTGTCTAACTTTACAGCCAACACCTTATCCTTCTTGAAGTCGGTGATCGGCTCCTTCTTCCCATGATTGGAGATACTCAACTCCATGTTGTGGGAATGAGTTGGCAACTTCTCAAATGTTCTCGGTTTTATACCTTGGAGGATGTAATGTAACCCCTAGTGCATGCCTTGAACGCACATCTCAGGGCGAAGGCTTCAGAAAGCCAATCTTTGCAATCTAGACTTAATGAACGCCATCTACTGATGTACTCGACGATAGGTTCATCTTTCCACTACTTTGTACTCGTTAGCTCCGGTATGCTTATGGTGCAACTAGTGTTGTAGAAGCAGCTAAGGAATTCTTTTTCAAGCTAGTCTCAGCTATTAATAGACTCGAGCTCAAGGTCGGTGTACCAATCAAAGGCATTACCTTTTAGTGAGCACACAAACTGCTTGACGAGGTAGTCTCTATCTGGGCCAAAATTGTTGCAGGTTTTAATGAAATGGGCAATATGGCTTTTAGGATTGCCTTTTCCATCGAATTGCATGAATTTTGGCGACTGATAACCTTTTGGCATCTTTAAGGTGTCAATCTTCTTGGAGTATGGCATTGAGTACAGCACGAAGTTGTGTGAGCTTCCTTCATACTACACCTTGATCGTGCTAATGATCTCTCCTATAGCTGTTGGATAGAGAGATCCCATTAGCATCGTTGCTAGTCCGGCATCTCCTCGAGCTTTTCCATCAAAAGCTCATTGTCCTCATTGATTTCCTTCTTTTGTAGATCAACCTTTAGGTCGGGGTCATCTTTTTCGTCATGCTCCTCCAGTCAATTGACGAGTGCGGCAATTTGCAAGTCATTTTCCTCCATAATCCTTGTTAGCCTTGTAATTGCTTCATTCTTTTGAGCTAGCTGCTCCTCAATGGAAGTCGCACCAGTAGTCATGACTTACATGGCTATAGGATACGAGCCACTACTTGAGTCTGCATTAAAAGTCAAGGACTCGGAGTACCTCCTCGGGCTTTCCTCCCTTGGCGTCCTTAGTGAGGCAAGGATGATCACGGGCATATGCCTCGTGTGCTCTTGCTCATTCGACAGAGTTGATGTAGGGGTAAAATGCACGGCAGAGAGAGCTCTTGCCTTGTTTTGGGTTGTGAAGCTGAAAATGCCACCACTCACGATGACTTGATCTCGGACAAATGATTGAACAATTGCTTAAAGTTTTGAGCTTGAACCAACGCTTGGATAGTCTTCATGTCAAGGTGCGGCAAAGATAATGTTGACGTGGGATTTCGTTGATTCAAGGGTCTTGGCGACTTGATTGTGAAACGAACGTCGTTACAAGTTTTGAGCTTGCAACAAACTCTTGAAGAGATTGGCACAAGTGCTTGTTGATTCTTCAAGGGAATGCTTCGGCTTTGGTACACTAGCTCTCTTAAAGCCTTCCATGCAATCTTTTTACCACTCATTTTGCAAATTCTCACTTCAATGAGGCAATCTTTCCGCAGTTAAGGGAAGATAAGAATGTCAAAGTTCCTGTAAAATAATGCGGATTTGTGTGGATGTTGCTCACTATGTCTCATCTCAATCCTCGTACCGTACAAGTGTGATGAGTAAGTGCGATGTATTCTAGCTGTCAAAATGTTGTTCTAAACACAATCATTTGATTTAGCTAAAGTGACAAGATCATATACCAACTGCAAACATGCCTGTAAGGATAGATAACAGAGGTCGAGTCAACATCCCTGAAGGGTGTGCCGCCTTTTTGGAAGGTTTGGCTGCTTCTGTTGGAAGGTCCAATACACTGATGTTTATCTAATCAATATGTCTCGGCCTGAAGCATAACAGGTCACTCGGTTTATAGGATTCACTTTCCTCGAAGAGGAATCCATACTCGAATACTATCTTAATCATTTCCACCTTATGAGATTAATCCAGATTACTCTCGAGACTTGAAATTCTTGGTCTAGTATACTAGTTTGGATGAGATATGGAATTGGAATGAGATTATCGTCGATGATGTTTTCACTTATACGATAGCTACCGACATAAATGAAAAGCGATGATATCAAACCGTGTTATGTTGATTAGTGACAACGTAAAACTGATTAGACAACTGAAACCACAATCTAGGTTTAAATTCCTTATTAAAGTATGTTTAGACCTATCATTCCTACATTGCCCAAGGTAACCCTATTGTGTTACAAATGGGAAAGAAAGCGTAATGAGATGAATGAAATAGTGCAAAATAAAGCACACCTTACGGCGCTAGATTTCTCTCAAACATTATGTGATTGATTGCAACATTATGAATGTGGTTAGTGTTTTTGTGTAGGGATACTGATATGAAAATTGACATTTAAGTTCTCGAAGAATTACATAGACTGGTTCAATTAGTTCCAAACCATGGATTAAAGCAATCTGGTGGATGTGTTCATTTACAGATTGAAGCAATCTAGTGGATGTGGTATACCCGCATCTGAAGACAGAACTTAAGATGAATGATCTTAAGAAAACTCATTTATGCCTTTACTTGAAGTTCAAGCGTTATTCTGACGGTACATTGGTCCACTAGCCGAACTACACCTTGACGATGTTACCTGTGAGTATACCAATGATCTTCCATATGCGATTTGCAAATGAGACCCTTGAAGAGGCTATAGAATCCAAGGTTCCATATTTGAATTCAACTTTGCACTTTGTTGTACTTAGCTCATTGCGTTCGACATGACAACTCATTCGATGTTAATCTATTGGTAAAGATGCAACACCGCACCTACACACAGCCACTGAATTGGTATTAAACCCTTGCAACGCACAACCCCGAATGGTTATGTCTTTACCATTAGGGATATCGCAATATCTTTGAGGTCCACAATATGATCTTAGTTACAAAATCTTTGAACCGTTCCAAGGCTCACCTTGCTTCACTACGCTACACATGAGACATGATTAAGAGCTCTTATTGAGCATATTCGAAGTACTTGCTAATTTCATCCATCATTGAGTCCCAACGATGATCCATGAAGACTTTGCCACATGTATCAACCCAACAAAGACATGATACATCAACGAAGTCAACGCGAAGACATATTACACCTTCATTATCACATCAGCAAAGCATCAGGAGATTGAAGTCATGCAAGTCGATCCCAAACAACCTTGCAACCTCTACACAAAGTTATTGCCGAAGTTAACTTTTCAGAAGCTCGTCCGAGGAATCTATATGCCTAAATTTTCATATCCAATGCTTGTAGTCCTTATTTAGAAGTTTTGTCAAACTCAAGGAAAGCATCCAAAAGTATACTCACTTAATCTCAATGTACTTTTTTCCCTACGATTAAGATCACTTTACCCACTGGGTTTTTGCTACCTAACTAGGTTTTGACAAGGCACCCATCATGGGCCTGATCTTATCCTTGTGAGCTATTCTACTTACGTCCAGAAGATGTTTAGCTTTGACTTAATGCAACTTCTCACTTTTCTTCTTAGTTTATAGGCTTTTATCCCACCTTGGGTTTTACCATAGCGAGATTTTATGTGTTTTACTTTTTATGCATTCTTCCATTGATCTCAGACTCACATTCGCTCGTTGTGCTGACGACTTCATTTACTAATCTACTTCATTTGCTAAAGACCTGATGCGATGCTTTCTTTGAGTATTTACACACTCAAAGGGGAGTGATATAATCCTATTAGTTTAGGAATATGATTGTATAAATCATTTCATATTTGGGATATCCTTATCGGATTCTATCATATCTCTTAGACTAGATATTATCCTATTAGAGTTCTAATCCTAATCGGGTAAGGAAATTGCCTTCTCGACTACTATGAATAAAGGCACAATGGGATGAGATAACACACCTCACAATTAAATCTCTTGTCTCTCTCTCTCTCTCTCTGTGCCACTGGTCACCCCCTATTTATCCTCTATAATTGTTCAATAAAATAGTCCTACAACAAAATGTCCAAAATAACCGTGATATATTTTGTTTTAAATAACTCCAATATGTTTAATAATATTTAAATAAATAAATAAATAAAAAGGAAAAAAATGCAAGACTTAGACATCCAACATCTTCAGAAAGCCCAGTATTCACACTTATCGTCGCTCTACAAAGACCTGAGATCCCAAACCACTCTTCTTCTTCCTTTTCTATCAAACCCGTATATCTCACTGCCAAGTCTCTTTCTCCTTCATTGAAGTTTCTCACCTCCGTCTAGGACACACTTATTCCTTCCTCTAACCTTTCTATGGATTGTAGCTCAATCTTTCCCAATCTCTCTACCACAAATATCACACCCCACCCACCACTATTTATTTATTATTTTAAATTATGTTTTGATTTTTGTTTCAAAATTTTAGTAATTAATAAAGTAGGGGTTTATGTGTGTGACAAATTAACAATCACTATTTGCAAGCAAAGTTTTTCACCCTCTTCCCCTTAGTGTATAAAATATCGTTTGTTAAAAGTTAAAAAAAAATTAAAAAATAAAAAAGAAAAGAAAACATCAAGGAGTCCTATGTGAACGTCCAACTTTGTTGGTCATGCAAATAAATTTCCATATTCACCGCTACTATAGATAAATAAAAAATAAAAAATAAGAAAAAATAAATAAAAGAAAAGGTCAAGGAGTCATGTGTGAACGTCCAACTTTGCTGGTCATGCAAATAAATTTCCACACCGCTACTATAAATGCTCCACGGTACCATATATAGCATCACTGCTATCATAAATACTCACACACCATAACATCTCAACTTCCCATCCACAACCTAATAATTCAGTATAGCAAAAGGAACAAACTATTAACATGGGGTTGTGCAAGATTTCCTTATCCCTCCTTTACATTTTAGGCTCAGCCCTAATCCAATCGACTCATGCCCAAGACACACCCCAAGACTTCCTCAATTCCCACAATTCCGCTCGCGCAGCAGTAGGCGTCGGTCCCTTGATATGGGAGGACAATATAGCACGCTTTGCACAAAACCACGCCAACCAACGTACTGGCGACTGCAATCTCACACACACCTATGGGCAATACGGTGAAAACCTTTCCACAAGCACGGCTGACTTGCCGGGAGCGGAGGCTGTGGACAGGTGGGTGGCGGAGAAGGTTGACTACAATTATGAGTCAAACTCGTGTGTTGATGGCAAGATGTGTGGGCATTATAGGCAGGTGGTTTGGAATACGACAGTTCGTGTAGGGTGTGCAAAAGTAAGGTGCAATAATGGGGGTACCTTCATTGGGTGTAACTATGATCCCCCCGGCAACTATCAAGATGAGAAGCCTTACTAACCATGGAAGAATCAACAACCACTCTGGCAGTTTTTGCTGATTAATATATCTATTAATTAGAAATTATTCGATACGATCCATATTTTTATGGAAATCTCTAAAAAAAATCTGAGAAAAATAAAGAAATCGACAGATATTGTTGTTATTTCTAAAAAATTTATTCAATATCAGAGAAACTCTCATATTTTGTCCAAATCAATGTTTGAAAATTTCTAAAGTTTCCTTTTAAATTTTCATTATTTCCATTTAAAGCAACCGCTTTCGATGTTGATATTCAATATATCCGTCGATATTTACACAAATTTGCACATCAATATTTTTATCGATATTGATATTTTAAACAACAATTATATCTAAGAAGATAAGCTATATGTTATTAAGAATAAAATGAACTAAGAAGCAATGACCGATCATTTGTATATAGCTTCCACTGGCAAGGGTGATCTTGTCCGGCGTCCAACTCCCACCTACACAAGGCATATACAACATGGCATCTTACTCTTCGATTTTCCTGAGTTTTCTTTGGCATAATTCAGGCTACTTAACCATGATAGTTTAAGGGTGATCCTATCTGGCGAGCTTTGGTGACGGCTCCTGGCGTACCAAACGTGGGACGAGGGAGTTCCGTCTCACCACGTTCTGTCCCATCCCATGTACCAAATGGTACCTTAACTAATGATTGAAAGCGTTTTGGATAAAAGTGTTTTTGTGTTCCAAAAGCACTTAAAGTGCTTTTTTCAAGCATCAGTTATGTGCTTCTTGCATGAAACAAGTGCTTTTTCCAAGATTCACTTGCATAATAAGGATTGATTCCAAAAACATTTTTATCAAAAGTGCTTTTAATCATTTTAAAAGTACTTCTACACATTGCCCTAAAATTGGTTGGTTGCCAAAGACATGGGATCGTTAGGCTTTGGGCTTATACCCTTTCCATACCAGTATTAAGATGGATGAATGGTCACGACATTTTTGGGCGCGTCTATTTTGCGGTCAATTAGCGCGGAACAGAATCCCCTCCTAAGCATGGGGACTGGAGCCTGCTGAGCAGCCCAACTGGACCCTTGAAATTTGATCCAACGGTTACAAATAAGTGGCCCCTCTAAAAGTTATAATAATTACAACTGTTGGATTAAATTTTAAGGACCCCAGATGGGCTGCTTAGTAGGCTTCGATCCCCATGCTCAGGGGGGATCCAGTTCCAATTGGCGCGGACCATCCGTGTGGACCGTATGAATCATTAAGAATGGTTTGAAAAGTCATTTGTAGTGGGCTATATTTTTTATAGTCAGTGTAATATGTCTAAGGGGATGAACTTTTGGTTTGCAGTGGGCAAACTTGCAAACTTGTATGTTTAGAATATATCTTTCTGCTACGAGACTAATGGATTGTGTGATACACTAAATGTGGCTCGTGATGAATGTATATAACTAAATGTGACAAGTTATGAAAGATTATGAATGAAAATAAATACAATCACTAAATAAACGTTTAAATGAGATACTGACTTTATAGACAAGCATACCAAAATACATATGGATTTGAAAACGATTTCGGAGAGATATGCTACGATAGACTTAATCGGATGATAAAATGTACAAATTAATGAGGCAACTTCGACCACTGCAACAGGAAGGCAGATTCCACCTTGAGGATCCTGGAGGCCTATACGAGCAGCCTTTGTGTGCTCGTGCTCCTCATACTCACCACCATTTATAATGATGTCTACCACTTGTGAAGGCAAAATGCAATCTCAATCATAGCCCTTGTGGTTACCATGGAAAAACAAATGAAATTTCTCAAACCCATATGGAAAGCCGAGTCACAATCTTCTTGGAGCTTCTTTACCGCCCATAAAGTGATTGACCTAGCACTTGAAAATTCCTTTTCTTTCATAATAATTGATTATACTTACGTTTTAGTCTATGTATTTGGCATTTGTACTTGGCTGATTTCTACTACACCTCGTTCAACTTATTTTTTAATGTAACCAATGTGGACTCTTCTTTCATGCACTTTTGATGCTAGACACTTACGACAAATGAATTCGCACAAAATTTGTTCTTCACTAAGCAATTTTATTGGTCTTTGTAATCATAATCACTTCCCAAATCACATATGACATATAAGCTTGGCGTGGTGGTAAGAGTGTGATTTATGAAGTTTTCCACAGGAGTTTTGAACAAGTGAATTTTTGTTATGGGTTTGTGAACTAGTTGCTTCCAATGTAAGTGCTCTTTCTCAGTCGGCCCAGTTTATTCCTATAGGTGTATCATGTAAAAGTGATTAAATGTCACACCTGCAAAAGCTAGATGGAATTAACTGACAAATGATGCTCTAGCGTGGATTTATGTTTGATGTTTATAAACTCTTTTGACACTATATAACATCGAGTAATATTTGCACTAACCTTAAAATCGGAACATGATATTAACGATCTAAACCGTTCATCTTTTTACATCCACTACAACATCATATTTTCAAAAAAGAAATTCTGAAAAATGCTTTCTGGTGATGAAAAATTAAAGCATAACTGTAAATGAGAATCGGACGGTTAGAGTTTCTGGCTAAGATTTATGGATTATTATGGTGTCGAGTTGTGGAGTTGACTCATTCACAATTGTAAATTAATTATTTCTAACTTTTTATTTGTTCTTAACTCATATAAAAAAACACTACTCACGAGGGTTTGGAGGGTTTAAAAAATCCAAACGATGAACCAACCATCATCAAAGCCTAGAGGAAGGGATCCTGAACGTCGGCATAATTTTTTTTTATATTTTTTCTATTTCTACGTAATTTATTATGAACTTCTATTGCGCTCTGGTATTTAGGAAGGCTTTGCAATAATTCGTAATAATTTATTTAGCAGTGCAAAAAATACGAAGCCGGGTGGCTCGTGATTTGGAATATGATATTTTTGAATTGAACTTCTCATATTTCATTTGAAGTCGTAATCGAGGTTTTATATAGGATTTTACACTTAATACATTATTTTATCCTCATTAGAGTTTAGAGTTAATTTCAAAGGGTGTCACAATGCTTCATCCAAAAAACACCAGCGATGGAAGTAATGGAATTTGGATTACTGAAGGCATCATCCAAAAAAGCTATAATTCTGGAGGATAATGCTCAGCATGCGAAATAATAATGAAGCGGTGAACATATTCGGATATTTAGATATCGACATTCGACAGTAAATGGATGGTGTAATGTTTAACTATCTATCCAGATAGTTTTCATGCACAAAGAGAAAAAAAATAAAAGGAAAAAACATGAATAAGAAATCAAATAACATATACGGAAATCATAGATACGATAACATATCAAACAACACACCTAAAACAGTATGAGGCTGATGATAGGAGCATATTCATGCGACTTAAATGGCTTGTTCTCGTGCATTTACGTTATGTTTCTTTAGTCATTTTAGTCCTTTATGCTTCTTTTGTGTGTTTTCAGGTTCTAAGGGCTTAGGGAGCAATGAAGTGCATTTTGAGGCTATTTGGAGCATTTTTGGGCATGGATTGGATAGCTTAATCATGGAGCAAAGAGGATGGACGAAATTGAAGCCTTGTATGCTCTTTGGGACATAAAACAAAGGGCCTAGCCCAATCAAACAAATCCTTTGAGCCATGGAAAACCTCTAGCCCAATCAAACAATCCATCAAAGCCATGCAAAACCACCAACACATGCACTCACATGCATTCACATGCATTTCAAGCACCAAACATTCTTCTTTGCCGTGCCTTCCCCTTAGATTTTCAACCCACATGCAACTCTTCATCATTGCACCACAAATCAGCCACTCACATGCATTCACACACACTTCACACAATTCCACAAGCTTTGCCAACACATTCAACCCATCACCCATTCACCTTGTGCCGTGCACATTCCCTAAACATTTCCAGCTTTTCTTCATCATTATTCCCCCTTTGTTCCAGCCATTTTCAACCCACATGCACCCTTTATTCTTCATCATTCTAGCCATGCACATTTAATCATTCATTTCATCCCTATGCCGTGCCTTTCACATGCAATTCCAGCATGCATTCACATGCATTTTCAGCACCATTAACATCTAACCCGTGCATTCCCCCTAATTCCAGCACCTACACACCTTGCATTTCCACTTCCTACTTCATCATTTCAGCCACATATTCACCCACATGCACTTTAATCATTCAACACATGCATCAACACACCAACAACAACTCAATGTCGTGCACTCCCATTGCCTTTCCAGCTCCCTTTTGCATTTCCAGCAAGAAAACATCCTTGCCATGGTCTTCACATGCAATTCCAGCTCTCACTTTTCATCATTGCAGCCACCTAAATGCATTATTCATTAACCTTTCATCATGTAGCCAGAAAATAAGCAAGAAAACATCAATGCCGTGCCTTCACACACCATTCCAGCACATGCCAACACCTTCACATGCAATTCCAGCTTTCACATGCTTTCCTAGCTGTTTTTCCATCATTAATTAGCCACTTGCATCCTAAACAAACAGCCATATACACCTCCATTCCTCCTATAAAAACCCTTGCATTCTCATTCATTTGTCATTCAATTCACTCTCCATTCTCATTACCACAACACAACACAAACACTCCCCCTTGTGCCGTGAGTCCTCCTTCCATTTTCCAGCATCCCCCTTTCATTTCCACCACTCCCCCATCCATCCAAAACACTTCCCAACCATTCCTCCGTACAAACACCAAACCAACAACATCCCTTAGACCTTATACTACAACGAAGAGGAGGAGAAGAGTGCCTAAACGTTCATACAATTCAAGTTTGAGTTGTTGGAATTTTTAGGTGTTGCTTTTCCTCGATTCCAATGTTTAATTTCAATTCTCTTTGTCTTGTACGTATGAGGAACTAAACCCCCCTTGGCTAGGGGGGGATTCGAAATATATGCTTATGCGTGCAATATGATTTGATTACTTCTAATTACGTTTCATAAGTTGTGAATCAATTTGTTTAACTGTTTGATTGATAACATATTTATGTATGTTTATTGAGAGTGCACGCTTAATTTTCATGCATGAATTTGACGCTAGAATATAAGTGAGTTTCACGTAATAGTTATGAACTTATATTCACAAGTAGTGGAGGTTGCTTATAAACAATCGCGTTAAACAAATTCTTGGCATAAGTTTCATGCAATCATAGTGACGAATGCCTCGTCAACACTTA